TCAATTATTGACGAGACAGTCTGCTTCCTTTTAGAGAAGAGAGGGTATCAAGGTGGGGAGAGAAGGCACCAGAGCTATTCTGAGAGGATTGGGGGGTGTAAGGGAAGAAATCCTTAAATTTTGAATGAAACAAACAAACACAGCCTAAATCCAGAGCAAAATATCCCCAGAGCAGCAAATCGGGTCCACACTGATGCGTGGAGACAACAGGAGCTTTTGCCATGTAAAAGCAAAAAGAAGTGAAGAGAGGAGCTGTGTGTCCCAGCACAATTTCAGCCTGTGCATCACAACAAAGAGCTTCTACTCACACAGACAGACCCAAAATGCTCTTGGAAAGCCTGGCACGCCTGGCCTGCAGCACCTGAAGACAGAACATTTTCTGTTCACAAAGAACTTTCTCCAACATCTTGACATGGATGGAGATGAACTTGGACTCTGTAACATTTTCCATGCTGAGAGAGGAGCTCTCAGCATTCACCTTGCATTGGCTAACACCTGATGATAGGACTTTGAGATGCAACTTCTGAAAGACATATTCAGGAAGTTTGGCTCTTCTAAGCTTCTTTGGGCTGGACACACCTTGAGCATCATCTGCACTCACCACCAGAAAAAATAAGCAACACCTCTGCTAGAGATGCAGCCACAGGAGTGTCCCTGGGATGCTCCTGGCACTACTACAGCAGTGACATGTGGCACCAGTGGCTCAGAAGACCTTTGGCAGGCCTCCTTCCAAGGAGCTGAAGGTAAGGCAACTCTGATATTCTCCTCTCTGCACTCTTCAGACCTAAATTAGCCATAGCCTGTCCAGTAGGAATCTTGCTCTGGGATAAGGAAAAATCTGAAATGAGACATGAAGGGATTAGGGTTGGGAGAAAGGGGAAGGGAGAAGCAGTCAAAGGGAAATGAAAGACAGTAAGTGGGGAAAGTTTCTGAACAGGACAGTAATTTGCACTTGCTGATTAATATGGGGAGGAAAGGGGAAGCTTCTTCATTAGCCCAGCCCAAGGACTTGGCCTATGAATCTTTGAGCTTTTGTGTGCCCAGCTGTGGCAACACATCACATGCACAGCCCAAAGGAGATGCATGTCTGCTCTGCAGCCTTGCTAGAAGTGAGTCTGTCTCAGGAACAGCAGGGGCTCCCCTCTTACTTGTTTAGAGTGAGCTAGTTTGGCAGTGGCTGTGGCTGCAGAGAGGAGGGAGAATTTCTCACTAATGACCTGAGATGAGTGGTGGGGGAGTGGGTGTCACTGCTGAGGATGAGCTGGCCATGCATTACAAGCATTATCTTCTCTTGGTTACAGTGACTCACTCAGATCCTCCTCTGAGAAGGAATCACTTCACAGTGCTCAGGATTTGGAAGGAAAGCCAAAGAGAAAAAGCTTCAAAACCAAAATTCCAGCATCAGAGCTGCTGTCTGGATCCCCAGCCACCAACTGCTGGATCCACTGTCTGAAGGAAAGACTGGCACAGGTAATTACTTCTCATCTTACTCTTGTGGATCTCTCTTAGCCTCTCCAGTGCCCTCACCCAAGATGTCAAATAGCTCAGGTTCACATACCTGTGCTGGATTTGAGTCCTCAGCCCCAATGGTTGCAAGAGACTGGCAACACCAGATGGGTGGCATTTCATCTTCTTAATGTAGGATGGGGCTCTGAGCAACCTGATCTAGTGGGAGGCATCTCCCATGCAGCAAAGTTGGGTCTAGATGACCTTTAAGGTTCCCTCCAACCCAAACCATTCTATAATTCTGTGATAACCCAAGCACCTGTCCCTAATGGTCAGGGGACAGTGCACACCTTGTCTAGCTTTCTGCTGGACCACTGCCAAATGCTTAGACATTAATATCTGGTGGGACATCCAGGCTGCAGACCTCCAGTGGGTACACATGAATTTAGCCCCATCTTCTGAGAAATCCCTTGTACTCTCCACTTTAGATGTCTAACCAGAGCTGCTGCATTTTTTTTATTATTATTATTTTACAGAGTTCTCTGCTGGTGTTGCTGAGTTTCCTTCTCTGTGCCCAAGAACCCTGCTTTCCCAGGGGAGAAGTGACTGCTGCAAGAAGACAGAGGACAAATCATGCACCAAAGAGTCTCCCATGCAGTGCAATGCCATGTTCAAGGTGCCAAGAACAAGAAAGAAATAGGGAAGCCACTTCTAAGAGGTTGAAGAAAAGTCTGACCTGGTCCAAGTACTCCAAGCACAGAAGCAAATGTTGAGAACAAAAAGAAAAGCCAAGAGGCAGAAGAGAAGAACCAAGTCTGGGCTTTGGGGACAGCTGGGCTTGTACTGACTGTCTGTTGAGATGATACCATACCTCTGCAAACTGGGGCCACTGGGACTCACCTAAAGAAATCTTAACTAGATTATCAGTTAAAAAACTTTCCTGATTAACTTTTCCAAATGACTGACCCTACCTAGACTATGAACCCTCCCTGCTGTTAATGCTGTAACTCATTTTTCCTGAGTTGAGGGGCAGCCTCATTTCATGCGGGTATCAGTTTTCAAACCTCAAAGGGCTCTGGAGGTTTGGAGAAGCATCTTACAATCCAGATGCTTGTCTGAACTGCTTGAGCCTGCACAACTGGGCCAGCTGTCTTGCCAGAAAGAAGAGTCTTGTGAGACAGCAGGTGCTTCCTGGATCTGTTTGGGCCAGAGTTACTGCAAGAACTGGAGTTCTTGTGCTGGCTTTGGTGTGACTGTTTTCCATCCAGACCCAGGGAGTGTAAAAGGTGTGCAAAAAAGAGCTCAAGTGAGCTGGACAAGACAGTTTTGGTTCTCACATCTCAGCTGAAGAGGTCTAGTTGGTTCCTCTCTCTTCCAGAGCCAACTGTCCTGGGTACGTGTGTGTGTGTGTGTGTGTTGAGCAAGCAAATCCACCTGACTAAATTCCCTGGTGTTCTGTTGCATTTGAACGAAGCCAATGGGACCTCATGTGCATTCCAACAATGCTCAGCAAAAATGTCCAGGACTGGAAAATAATGTAAAACCATAGAAAAATATACTCCACAGATATCATCTCAAGGTCAAAATGATTTTTGATTTTGGGGTGCTTAATTTCCACAGTCCCTTTCAAGGGACTCAATAGGCATTTTATTTTTCCATAGACTTTCCTGCCTTTTTAATAAGTTTGCCTGGTTTTGCTACTTGGTTGTTTGGTCCTGAGGTTTATACATTTTCAGCTGTTTGGAGTGTGCAGAACTGAATCTCCTGGACTGACTTTATTTCAATTATTGCTCCTAGTAGTTTGGAGCTTTACTTGTAGCACCCTGGTTTATATTACCAGCTTCTCCAGGAAGGACTGGTAGTTTATTTTCCTGGGGCAGAGTGATGTGAATGAAGAAGTGTGTATGTGCTGTGTCTGTAAAATTTTAGCAGCTTTCAAAGACTGGATTTGTTTGTTTGTTTGTTTCCTTAGGAAATTTTACATTTGACTCTCATAAAACTACTTTAGAATTTTTATTTTTACTAGAGGTATTATTAATTCCAACAACTTTGTACAAAAGGCAAACACACTGAATTTACCACAGGCTATAGGGGTTGAAGCCAAAAGGTCTTTGTAAGCCGACATTACCTGCCCTAGATCTGACTGTATCAGGCAGTTTATTCCTCATGTGTCATGTTGGAGTTACAAGATCACACCAAGCCACTAGAACCTGTCAATAGAATAGTGCTACACTCTATTTGCTATTGTAGCAAAGCCTTTTGTAGATTTATACAATAAATCTTTGAAATATCTGCTTCAATTTCTTGGTGTCTTGCTTTCTGGTCTTTCTTCCTTGGTTCATGGGAGACTCAGGTACCTGTTGCCCTCTGAAGATTTGGTCTTGTTAGCCATTTGGGTGTATTTGACTCATTAAATTCTCCTTCTCAGCAAAACCAGATGATTGACATAAAAATGAAATGTACCGGGCCATTGAAGAGGAGGGGTTGGATATAGAAAATATAGAGGTGTTTTAAGGGGGCTGTTTAGCATCTCAGATTGAGTCAAATGTAGCCCATGAGGCTGGAAGAAATGGACCTTTTTGAAACTGTGGATAGTTGGGTACATCTAAGAGAAAGGCTATTGAAACAGAGGGCAATCACTTTCCCACCCATGCTTGAGAGATAATATGCATGGAAGAGCTTAGGCAAGTCAGGGCAAGGTAAAGAACTCCCCAAATCTGAATCAGCTCTACTTGATGTCCAAAGAGGCATTAGCACCCAGGAGCTACTACCAAGCTGGTGCTTTGCTAGAAGTGTCCCTGCACATGCAGGAGGGTTGGATCTACATGACTTATAAGGTGCCTTCCAACTCAAACCATTCTCTGATTCCCAGGTAGCAGGGTTAGTCTCCATTCCTTGGGTTTGTCACCTATAAACATGTCTGGGGCATCAGGGCTGGGGGGAGGGAACATATCAAGGGATGTAGCTCAGAGTGGTATAAATTGAAATGAGCATTTTTACAATAGGCTTGGCTCAAAGTTCTGGCTCCAAAGACCTTCAGACCATGGTGATCAAGGACTCTGCTCTGACTCTGCAAATCCCTCCCCTTATGAAAAGGTTTTGCATTCAGGTGGATTTAGCCTCTGTTCCCTGCACCACTCCTGGTCTTTCTCCAAAGAGAAGAGTGTT